GTTGCACTGCGGTTTAGTCCACCACTTGCCTCACCACTTGACCACTTGCCCACTGGCCTACCTTCTAGAAGGTCTACAGCTAAGCTTCCGGAACTCACTAAGACTCCTACGCTATAGACCTACAGATCGAACCCCTGCTGCCTATGGACCTACGACMGGCCTACCAACTGCCTACGAATACACAGGTCACAGGTTCAATTCTCGGGGTCTACACAGATACTGTACATGGGTAGGGTGAGGTCTAGGGATCGAACCCTGGGTACTGCATCCCCTACTGCTAAAAGGTGAAAACCGTTTCACTACCTCCGATCCTGTTTTTACCTTCCCTGAACCGAGTTTTGCCGAGCCTGGGTCCCATTGTGCTTTCTTTTCTGGTACTCTACTGAAATGAAAAAGAAAAAAAACTTTAAAAAAGAGAAAAGAAAAAAGGAAAAAAAAGCAACAACCCTAGGGACACGAAAGCAGCTAGATACAGAATCCAGGGTGCACGTGAGAGTGTACCCTAGCAACGGGCGGTACAGCCCTCCTGTAATAATAAAAGGGCCTTTACCCGATTGAGACCCTGAATGACGAACGCAGCATTATGGGGTCACTCGGCCAGAGCCTAACTCGTGAAAAGCAGATCAAAAGACATGTTCTCTGGGTCAAAAGTCACATCCTAAGTAAGTGAAGAGTTGTGTCAAAGGTCACAGTCGTGCCCCAGGACGAACAGTTGCAACATTCAATTGTGGGGGTCACATCTGTTCATCCAGGGGGTGTGCAAGTCATGTCTGTTTGTACAAAAGATGTGCCTGTTCGTACAGTAAAAGTGTCTGTTCGAGCAATAGATGCGTCTGTTTGTAAAGGAGTCAAAGGAACAAAGGTCCCAGTCCAGATTCAAGTCAGAAGGGAAGTCTAGATACAGACTGGAAGTCCGAAAATCAGGCCTAAAGGCCGCCGCAGCAGCAGACCCTGAGGGAAAGGTACTGGGACACATTCTGCGGTGGTCTGGGACTGGGGAAAGACCCAAGGAGGACTGATTCAGACCTCGCAAAGGGAGGCCAGCACTATAAGAGACTAGGCCAGCCTCCCCACACGATAGATTCTCCATTGGCATTGATGCGTGGAAGTGCTGTGGCACTTGTGCGCTAGAGTGCAGGGAGAGAGCGTTGACTTGAGAGCTGCGCCAGGAAGGAGATGTGCTGGGCGCTGACTGGCAGAAGCATCCATAGCTGCGCCAGCTATATTAGTAGAGATAGAAGGGTTAGTAGCAGGTATCAGTGAGTACCATTCAGAGTAGATTCTCGTAAGTAGGGAGTGTGCATGCATGATGAGACGAGAGGATCAGAACAGAGATCCTGAGAGAGAAGAGAGAGGGAAGACAGGTTCCTAAGTTGGATATGGTGGTAACTTACCTGCTGGCGCCATACCTGTGATCTGGGGCATAAGCTGGCAGAGCAAGGCCCTATGTTGGCGATTGATTGAAGGCAACTTGTGATCTGTTGGCGCTGAACTCTTGAACTCGAGATACTCTTTATATAATGTGATTTTGATAATATGATCTGCGTTTTCTGGTTCTCATCTCATCTCGACTTGGCTGTGTGAGGCTTCTCTAGCTATGTGTTGACATCAATGCATGCGAAGTGATACACTCCAGCAAGCAATGAATAGACAGGTTCCTTGCAATAAGGGCAGCACGTCTAGGATCAACGAAGAACCGAAAAAAACTGGCATCCCCGTTGGACGTGAAAGCAGTTGGATACAGAATTGCGGGCACATGTGAGAGCAATGCCCTCCAACAGGGGGGGGAACAATCTCTGGTGACGTGAAAACAACTGGATACAGAATGTTGAGTACATGTGAGAGTGGCCCCTTCGTTGCGAAGTGTCAGCCGTCCGTGGATTCCGCCCTGCCTGGTTGGCAGGGCACTATAACGACATCAAAAGGGAAAAAAGAAAACGGAACTAGCTGTTATTCTGGGTAGATGCGTTCCTTCAAGCATTGATGTCAGCACACCACCTTCACGGCTTTCCCCGACGTCCTTCCTTTCCCCACTGTGGCTTTTTTTTTGCTGTACAGGCCCACAAGGCCCAAACACTTTCTTTTGCCGGAGCCTCCTCCGAACCCCCGATAAATGTGGTGTGACGTATATTCCCGTTTTTCCCAACACTGAGAAAGGTAGTGGTGGTTTAAAAGCGTGACAGCCTCAAGATATCATCATTGAGCTGACCGGCCCCAGGTGATTCAGAATTACAACATCCTACCAACGGGCCTAGCTCAGTCGGTACACCCATGAACTGTTGAAATATAGACCCATGTTTGAGTCCTTTTTTTTTTTTTTTTTTTTTTTTTAACAAATCCTTATTTTTCTGGCTCCTTTTCCATTCTGGGAAGCATCAGTCCGGTTCCTATTCCACCAGCAAGTCAAAAGGAAGTACATATAGGACTCGCACACACTCTTCCCCTTCAAGGTAGGAAAGCCCGAGGGACGGCATTGATACTTCTCGCCGGAAGGATGTACCACCCCTCACCCCTGCCTAAGTTAGCCTGGTTCCTTTTATTTTGACTCTAAGTGATAAAAAAGAGCCCAGAATTGTGGACCCTGTAGGCTTGCTTCAGGGAGGCCTCACCTCACCTGTTCCTCTCAGTACTTTGACTGACAGATTCTCTTTAAGCACGAGAACTGTAGACTTGATCCTCCTCAATAGGTCTTGGTAAACCCTAAACCCTCCCTGGTCTAGTTACTCATGCCTATGGGTGAGATTAAAAAATGTCATCCTTTTATTGAAATGGTTTCACTCAGTTGACCCGACTTTGCAGACACAGAGATTCGATCCCCAGACGTGTGCTGAGTGAGATTCGATCCCTAGACCTGTCCTATACCTGTACATAGACCCAGTGACCTGAGTAGGATTCGATCCCTAGACCTGCCCTACGTCCTAGGCTAGTCTGTAGGTCGGACAGTAGGACTTGATCCCTAGGTCTGTAGATTAGGAGTTAGGTCTGTTACCGTTAGGCTTAGGAAGGCCTGTTCTAGA